CAGATCTGCCAGACTCAACCTACTTTACTAAACTGTATAAAACATATGTGCACTGTGTTTTCGGGGCTCCGTCTGCAAGTTCCATATGAGCTGAAAGAACGAGTCCGTGCACGCTTGTACCAGATATCTTTACTCTGAATAAACTGCCTTGTCATACAATTTACCACCTAGTCTGAATCCATCCTTGACCGACTCTCCCTTCTCCATATCCTGTTATCAACAAAAGCAGTTCAATGTCGGGGTACAGAGTCGCTCTCTTACCAGGATCGCGGTCCGCTCTGACCAGGGTGAAGCCGGTTCCGCTGCCAGCAGCGTTTTCATTATTTAGTCAGTTCGTAGCGGGTATGTACACGATCAACAAGATCAGTCCAAAACCAACCACTGGAAATCCATGGTTGGCAGAATGTTTGTAAACTAAGTCTACAAATTAAAAACATAAAATAACACCACACTGCAGGTCGCAACAGAGACGCTGCTAGCCGCTATTGTCTTAGTTACGTTCATGGTTACGTCACGTATGACGAAAGCGCGTAAGTGCAAGCCCACAGACACACATAGAGAATGTATTGAAAGCTTTGAAATTTGAAAAAAATAGATTTTACATGACAGGCTATGAGAGACTTCTGGGCGATTTTCAACCTGACTGAAATCGCCCCAAAAACGGGCGGGGCCATTTGAAGCACGACTTTAGCCTGATTTGACATTTAGTGGCTGGCAGATCAGACGTGAACACTGATAAATACTGTTTCCGTGATATAATTGATTAGAAAAAAAATCCCTTCCTTTTCCCGTTTGGCAGTGCGTCGCCCATATCGCCCTATTGAACAGGCCGTCCCTGCTCAGAAGCTAAACGTCATTGACAGAAAAAAACTTGAATTGTTGCATCTCGTTATGTTATTGTCCTCTGGTGGCTAGCTAGCTAGCCAGCTAAAGTTGGTCCTTTCCTAAATTAGCCATGGATGGAGATAGGGATTTGGACTTGTGGTTTTAATTAATTCTCCATACTGGCCAATGATTATAACGGCGATTCTGATTCAACCATTAATTCATACATTGTTGTGCCCCTGGCCTCAGAGGATGGAGGTTCAATATGTACAGTGCTATGAAAAAGTATTTGCCCCCTTTCTAATTTTCTCTACTTTTGCATATTTGTGATACTGAATGGTATCAGATCTTCAACCAAAACCTAATATTAGATAAAGGGAACATAAGTGAACAAATAACACAACAATTACATATTTATTTCATAAACAAAGTTATGCAACACCCAATTCCCCTGTGTGAAAAAGTAATTGCCCCCTTACACTCATAACTGGTTGTGCCACCTTTAGCTGCAATGACTCCAACCAAATGCTTCCTGTAGTTGTTGATCAGTCTCTCACGTCGCCAGGCATTACTGGAACCATGTTGTCCAAAAAGTTATACTTTTGAATCATCTGTCCATAGAACGTTTTTCCAAGAGTCTTGATGATCATCCAGGTGCTTTTTGGCAAACTTGAGTCAACTTTTTGGACGAGATGGGTCCCATTATGCCTGCCAAAAACCAAACACTGCATTCCACTGCATTCCACAGTAAGAACATCATACCAAAGGTCAAGCATGGTGGTGGTGGTTTGATGGTTTGGGGATGCTTTGTTGCCTCAGGACTAGGACGACTTGCCTTAATAGAAGGAACCATGAATTCTGCTCTGTATCAGAGAATTCTACAGGAGAATGTCAGACCATCCGTCTGTGAGCTGAAGCTGAAGCGCAGCTGGGTCATGCAGCAAGACAATGATCCAAAACACACAATCAAGTCTACATGAAAATTGCTAAAAAGCAACAAATTGGAAGTTTTGGAATGGCCTAGTCAAAGTCCAGACCTAATCCCAATTTAGATGTTGTGGCAGGACTTGAAACGAGCAGTTCATGCTTGAAAACCCACACGTCACTGAGTTAAAGCAGTTCTGCATGGAAGAGTGGGCCAAAATTCCTCCACAGCGACGTGAGAGACTGATCGACAACTACAGGAAGCATTTGGTTGGAGTCATTGCAGCTAAACGTGGCACAACCAGTTATTGAGTGTAAGGGGGCAATTACTTTTTCACACAGGGGAATTGGGTGTTAAATGGAATAAATATGTAATTGTTGTGTTATTTGTTCACGTATGTTCCCTTTATCTAATATTAGGTTTTGGTTGAAGATCTGATAACATTCAGTATCACAAATATGCAAAAGTAGAGAAAATTTGAAAGGGTGCAAACACTTTTTCATAGCACTGTAGCTAGATGTAGAAGGCTAATGTTAACTAGCTAACGTTGCCCATGAATGGAAGTTAGGCTAGCGAGCAAGCATTTTAGCCAGGTAACCTAGGACAACAAAAAATATAACTGTGTACTGTCTGACAGAGTGATAGACCGTTTCATCAACATGAAAGAGAGGAGGATGGCATTGGCATTTCTCTACAAGTAGGGTGAGTCAACATGTTTTTCTACTTGCACGAACGCGCATGTACACACACACACACATAAACACGCACACATGCACACAGAAATCAGAACCACGGACAGCCACATCATATTTAGCTTACGTTGATTGGACTAAAATGTTTTTGGTATCTTTTAGTTGTCACTGTATTAGACTAAGCAGAGGTGATTTGGTGATGTTGAAATGTTGGAATTGAAATGGTGATGGAATAGTGGAGGCAGCTCCTGTTTGCGACTTGAGGTAACTCGCTGTGGTTCTAAATCAATAGTTTTTAGTGGTCCGAAAATGTCAGAAACATTAACTTGCTTGACCATGCTGTAGGTCATGTAACTGTCTGTTACTGTACATGCAATATGCTTTGTGGACTTCATTGGACAGAGGTTGCTATCCTGTTTTGTGATAAAACAAATGTGTGGTTGAATTTATTCTGCCACTATATCTTCATATTGCCTCGGCCTTTAGGCCTACTGAATATATCACGGTCGCAAGGCATATGAACTGACAGGTTATAGAGCAAACAACGCATAGGTTGTAATACTGCGTTATAATGTATTTTTTAAAATCTAATGCAATTAAAGTGCTGAGTAAACCTTTCTCTTAATCTCTGAAGCACCTCTATTTAATTGACATCACTTGCTAAACAACTCCCTGGCACTGACAACATAATATACAAGTGATTTTATAAAGCAGTGCATGTTGTTGAGGTAACATTACCTTCAAATCGTTGCATTTTAAATGATTAATTCCTTCGCATTTATAACGCTGGAATATCCAAGAAATCTCGTAAAGGAAAAGCTTTGGCCAATTTCGGTCTTACAAGAAGCAGATGTGAGTTCTAGTTTCACCTAAGCTCCCTGGGCATACTATAGATCTGACCCTAAAGACCCATCTGTAATTTATGCCCAGATGGGAACTGTCTACAGAAGACATTTGTTTCCACCTCTCCATTTGTTAGATTTTCTGAAGGTACAGTATGTGTGAATTTTGTACGCGCAATACCTCTATTTTTCCAAGAAATTGTTCAAAAGAAAAGGAATTACCATGGTGCGTTCAGAGAAAATTGAGGGGCTTCTGCTTTATATCAGGTGGAAATTGTGTTGTGTGTAGAATTTGTCCTTCTTGATTTTCCCCTTGGGAAGGTTGGATGTACCACAGTAATCTAAAAGAAAACATTGCAAACAACACTGTAAACAATATGAGAGCAAAGTCGAGGAAATTGCAGTAACCGAAAGCCACAAATCATACATTAAGACATAGCCCATTATACATCGGAACAGAGTTATTTTCCTGTGAGCGGTGAGCACAGCCTTGTGGGAGAAGATTAGACAGGGCTGAGGGTGTAATCATGTTGAATCCAGCGGTCCTGCTGGCTTCTTCAGGCTGACAGAGCAACGGTCTGCAGGGAGCACAGAAAGGACAAGGTCCATCCCTGATCCCCAGAGCAATGCACGACCTGACCGTAAGGTGAACAGAGGAGAGGAGAGGGATGATGATTGGATGACAGCCACTCCTCTTCTGCTCCATACATGCTGGACAGGCTAGGGCGTTCAGCCAATGAGTTCCTCCATTGTAAGGCAGACATGCTGTACACACCACACACACACACACACTTCTTAGTCTGTGCCTAAATGGAACATTTCACAGGCAGATCTAAACTCAAGGGGGTTGATGGAATATCACTGTAACAACTAAGGGACAGTGCAATAAAACCACAAGGATCTAGTGTATGTTGTCATGTAATAGTTATAAAATCATCTATGAAACAAAATAAATAGTTATTTGATAAACTTTGAAACAGGGCTGGTGCTCAAACCAACCTGCATATCTAGTTATGAGATAATATGTCAAAACAGACAAGCTTTGTACCTTAGATAGTAATAGATAGTAGTAATGTATGAAATGGGTGTTTTTCTGGTAGCCTTGCAGGTTTGCTTGAATCCTACCAGCCTTAGTCTGAAATCAATGTCTTGGTAGCAAAGCAAAAAACTGCAATGCTGTAATATGTAAATTTTACTTTTATACTTTTGGATATATGATACAATAACTCACCCACCTGTCCTAGATCACACAGCTTATTTCCTGTCTGGTTTGGCACATAACTCACTGTGAAGAACCATGAACTGCATTGCTTTGCATCTACGGTATGTGCATCTTTCACATTCAAACTTTATGACAGAAAACATGTCCAAAGGATTTAAGCGGCCAAAACATGTTAACATGAAAGATACATTTGACAGAGATACAAGACATTTACATTTATTCTCTTAATACTGATAATTTCTGCATTACTGTAACAATATCTGATTTCAAAATGATGTATGTACTGTATGTTGTAAAGTAAAAATATTTACGTACAGCAATAAAATCATAAAAAAAGAATTTACAATGACAAAAAGAAGGCAAAGTTACGACATAATTTCATAAATACATTTCAGACGCAGGCCACCATTGTACAATGTTCTTTTGCATCATATTGTAAAAGAGACCAATGAAAGTGGATGACACATGAAACTAGTGTCCATTCTCTCCTTTCAGCTTTCTTGAATTAGTGTTTGTTGGTTCCTTATATTCGAGATTCCAGCCTTATATCTCTTCTTAAACTTTGTCGCAAACTTCCTCTTGACCAAAACATTTTCACCTCTATGGAAATGAGGAAAAAAATGACACTTTAAACTTCTTTCCTCCCAACATTTGATATGGCATAGCAATGATATTAACACACTTGAAGTGTGATTCAAGAACACTTACTCTTTGAGTGTATGCAAGGCAGAGCAGAAGTGAAGGCACTCAAAGTCATTTTTCTCCGCACAGAAGCATCGTCCCACCTCTCTCCTCAGTCGAACAGGGAAAGAGCCCACTCCATATGGCACTATCTGACTAGAGACAGAGTCAAGGGATTGATGAGCAAATTTTGTACATGGAATGATAAACAACATCTTTGAATTGAATGGACGTGTTTCTTAACCTACAAAGGGAACTTTGTGTTTTGTTTTATTTTATCACAGCACAGGATGTCTGGAATTTAATCTTCAAACGCTCATAATAGCTCAATATCCTATCTCTATTGGCACTCACAAAATGCTTTTACAGAACCAATTAAGACGATACCATACATACAACTGCATGGCCCTGAAAAGCTGGGCAAACACTGGTGTCTAGTGAGTCTCGAGGGTATAATGTACTAAACCTAACAGGACACAGAGAGGACTGTAGTCTGTAATAACACATTTATATCTCCTAAAGCTGCTCTTTCATTGCTCTGGGAATTAACCCAAACCTGACGCCAACCAGAGCAAGTCTGCCTGCCCGCCATGATGGCTCGATGCTCATGTCATGCCTGGGACATGTTAACAAGACCATGCACACAGTCAACTGATTCCAGATGCCATGCACGGCTCAAAGCATCCCCATCAAACAGGGTCACCTTCCCCCCTGTGTTCTCCACACACTATCACACACATGCACACACACGCACGCTGACGCACACGCTCACACACATGCACCCATCTGTCTGTCTGTCTGTATGTCTGTGTGTGTCGGAGCAGCCTGCTTTTTAAACACCAACACATCTGCATTTCATACTGTGTTTTTGGCAGCTGTTGAAAGGTGACCCTTTCATTTCTCATCCGTCATCTCTTTCTCTCTGTTGTAGTTAAACCTCAGTTTTTTGGACGGTGAAAGCCTGTCTCTTTAGCTGCCAGTAAGTGTCCTCTACTCTTTATGAACTGTGACCTGTCGTAGTTGCTAGAGTTGGCGTTGGAAGTAGACAGCTTGAGTCAACAGAATTGAATAGAAATCACATATGAGTCTCATAAAACCCAATGCTAATTTTTGGAAATGAATGGTCATTTGTGAACATTAATATGAAATGCAATATCAGTTCCTAACTGCCGATATCCATCCTTTTTTCTATATAATGTTTGGTAGGAGGACGTGTGGTATTACCAATGATATGATAATGGCAACAACAAAGGATCACGTAATTGCATACTACTACTGTGATTCTATGTTTAAACATAGCACAGGACCTAAAATGAATACGCCTTAGCCTTTAGTAGCTGTCTTTGGCTAACCATGGGGAAGTACAGCATAGTGGCAAACTTATAGAAACCTGGTACTTCCAGAACACATATGAAAGCTCTTTTGAAGAAACAAGGAATTAACAAGAGGACAGATGCCCTAACCACTCCTCCAACTAATTGGATGTGGGATATTTGGGTCAGGAAGTATGTTCAGATCCATCTTATTGTAGGTCGACTGTAGTAAATGTTGAAGAGTTACACTACTTGTTTTTGAAAAATGTGAGTAGATATTATCTTTATTTGTGTTACACAAGAAGCTTCAGCAGGAAAGAGTTGATGATAAACAGTAGCTGTCTCTTATTTTAAATTAAATCCTTGACACTTTGTGGTTTTGAGATTTATGGAGTACCACAAATCATCCAACTCCTTACACCCTGATGTGATAATGAATCACAAAAAAAACCTGTGGCTTCTCATTGCACTGTCAGAACATACCATGGTTCAATACGAAAATATGATACAGCATGAGAATGGATCATTAAAATGTTATTCATCTCCACCTTTTCAATCCAACAAAATTATGTATAGATGAACTTCTCTGTTTTCACAACACCAAGAGCTCTTTCTTCAAGATCTTTCTAGCTATGGTATGTTCATGAGGGGGTGAATTCCAGTTGTGCTGTGTGATGTTCATGTGTGAGCGTCTTGATGGACTCACCCAGGAGTGTTGACCCAGACGATGCCGATGTGGCAGAAGTACACACATTCTTTATCTTTCAGGTTCTCACAGGAACAACGCTTCTCCCGCCCATGGGGCCTGTGGTCAAGCAGCTTCACGGGGCCCTCCTCTGGACCAGGCCCAGGGATGGAGGTGGAGTCTGAGTATGCTGGGAGAAAGGGAAAAAACATGAATAAAGCATTATATCAAGATAATACATTCTAATGAAACTTTTATGAGGACATACGGTACAGAATTGTGAGATTGTGGTCACTCCATTTTTATTAGTTTCTGAAGTACAGCATGTACAGTAGCTCATTTGGCACTGCTAATGCTGTTATTATCTTGACACATCAATCCTATGATATGCTTCTCACAAGGACCAACAGTCTATAAAACAATCCACTTATTGAGTGTCCTCCAGCCATCTCACCGTCTATAGTCCATCTCACTGCTACTGGGCTACACCTGGCAACAGACAGCCTTTTATCCAGTCCTCAGAAAGACACTGATCATCACTGGTTATTCATTTGATGTCAGTCAGACGTATTATTACAGTCTGATAGCCCAGATGAAGTCTAGATTAGGTTGCCACTGTATGTGCACTATAGACACAGGGGATTTTTTTGCTGATAGTGACACTGTCTACACATAGCTACATTCTTATGTTTCCCACATCTAACCCTAATATATTTCTTCCAGCTTTATATTTTATTTTGTAAATTGTATCAAACTTTTACACCCTGTAAAGGACAATAGTTTAATAAACGTACTATGAAACTCAAGTGGTGGAGAATCCCAAATGCCATGTGGATTTGGGTTTAAAGCACTCCAATGAATCAGTGGCAAACCGCATTGTACCCTGCACATTCCCTGCAAGTTCATGCAGTGCATTCAGGCGTCTGCTGGGGCAAGCCAGGAGCGCAGCTTCCGATAATTGGGTTGGGGTTTGACTTTTTATCACTTGAATGAAAACAGATTGTCCTTGTACACCCAAACGGTCCTCTTTAGCTCTTTATAAACAAGTTTCAGTGAAGATCCCCCAACAGAGAGTCTGATCATACAGGTGTTGAGTGATTTACGTAAGTAGCTTTGACTGACACAAATAGCTCAAGGAAAATCATCTCTTGATCAGGAAACTGTTTTAATAGTGGATTTCTTGCTTTAGGCAAGGAAATTAAAGGTTGGGATCATACAGACGCCCGGACCACGGATTATACTGTATTGGCATTTAGTATGGAAATGTTACACTACACGCCTTGCATGCCTCCTGAGATGACAAGCGATTGCCAAACAAAATTTTATTTAGTGACCTGTTTGGAGAAGTGAGAGTTCACTGCTTTAGGGATTCAGGAGTTGATTGCCAAAGACATCCATGAGATTACTATTTAATCCATACCCACCCATTAAGTGAGAAACAGTCTCCGGCAGAATGTTGAGTCAATATCGTCAGAGCCCCTGGCCCTGTTTTTACAAGATTAGTTCTGGATCTAACATTATAAACAGATTATATCCCCGGCAGTGCCTTCAGAAAATATTCACAGCCCTTGACTTTTCCACATTTTGTTGTGATGCAGCCTGAATTTAAAATGGATTGGTGTGCAAGGGTTTATTTAGTCTTCTACGGCAGCATATAATGACAGAAGAGAAGCTGCATGTATCTAATTATAGACAAGTTGACTAACAAATAGCCTACCAAAATGTCCAAAATTATAAGCAGAAACATATCTTAATCATGCAAAAAAAATCCTGCACCCGCTGTCAAAAAATAATTCAGCTGACCTGCGCACCAGTAGTATTTAACATGAGTTTTTAATAACTACCTCGTTAGTCTCTGTACCCCACATTTACAATTATCTGTAAGGTCCCTCAGTCGAGCAGTGAATTTCAAACACAGATTTAACCACAAAGACCAGGGAGGTTTTCCAATTCCTGGAAAAAAAGGGCACCTATTGGTAGATGGGTAAAAAATAAACAAAAGCAGACACTGAATATCCATTTGAGCATAGTGAAGATATGCATTACACTTTGGATGGTGTATCAATACACCCAGTCACTACAAAGATACAGGCGTCCTTCCTAACTCAGTTGCTTGAGAGGAAGGAAACCACTCAGGGATTTCACCATGAGGCCAATAGTGACTTTAAAACAGTTACAGAGTTTAATGGCTGTGATAGGAGAAAACAGACGATGGATCAACAACATTGTAGTTACTCCACAATACTAACCTAACTGACAGAGTGAAAAGAAGAAAACCTGTACAAAATAAAATATTCCAAAACATGCGTCCTGTTTGCAACAAAGCACTAAGGTAATACTGCAAAAAAATGTGGCATAGCAATTCACTTTTTGCCCTGAATACAAAGTGTTATATTTTTGGCGAAAATTCAATACAACACATTACTGAGTATCATTCTCCATATTTTCAAGCATAGTGGTGGCCGCATCATGTTATGGGTATGCTTGTAATCGTTAAGGACTGGGGAGTTTTCAGGATTAAAAATAAACAGAATGGAGCTAAGCACAGGCAAAATCCTAGAGGAAAACCTGGTTTAGTCTGCTTTCCACCAGACACTGGGAGATGAACTCACCTTTAAGCAGGACAATAACCTAAAACACAAGGCCAAATATACACTGAAGTTGCTTACCAAGAAGACAGTGAATGTTCCTGAGTGGCCGAATTGCAGTTTTGACTTAAATCTACTTGAAAATATATGTCAAGACCTGAAAATGGTTGTCTAGCAATGATCAACAACCAATTTCACAAAGCTTGAAGAATTTTGAATATAATAATGGCCAAATGTTGCACAATCCAGGTGTGGAAAGCTCTTAGAGCCATGAACAGAAAGACTCACGGCTGTAATCGCTGCCAAAGATGCTTCTACAAAGTATTGACTCTGTGGTGTGAATACTTATGTAAATGATGTAAAAACAGCCCCAGTGTGAACACCTGTTGCATTGTATCTTCTGATTTAGAGATATCGAGATAGAAAGAGTGCTTATCTCTAGATAGTTAACCCTTACTTTTGTTTGTTTTGTTTGTGTCCTGACCTAAATGTATACATTTTGTCCTTCTTTGATCAAGGAGTACATAGCTAGGTGTTTTGTATTTTTCCCTCAGATTTAAAAAAAGATGGCTATTTGTCAACCCCTTGTAATAAGCATCAGATGTCTGGCTACCACAACGGCAGAGTGGTTTAGGATTCTTCATGGATGACAAATACTCAGTGTATCAAAAACACACTCATTTCGAATGTCCTGCAGACCAATAACAAGTCACAATAAAATGTTGTTTGGTTGATAAATGTTTTCCTATTGAGTATATGTTAGATTAAACAAAAAGTTCAATTCCATGTAATGAGAAATTACATGTTTTAATTGATGGCTTATTTGTAAGCCATTTTATTCATTTCAGCCAACCACCAGAGCTGAATCCCTGTTTCCTGCAGCTAAAGCCCTCTACACTGAGGTGGGGTGTTGCCTGGGGGTCACTGTTATAGAACTGACTTATGTTCTGTGGTTCCTAAGGGAATGTGCAGCACACATGGATAGCAACACATGGCTTAGAAATATTCAGACCAAAAGAGCAATATATTTTTTATATTAGGCTGAATGAGTAGTCCAAATTCCTCAAAAGCACTGCATGATGTGATGTAACAGCCCCATTGTGAACACCTGTTGCATTGTATCTTTTGATCTAGAGATATTACCAATCTCGAGATATCTATAGAAATAGTACATATCTATAGAGAGTATTTATCTCTAGATAGTTACCTCTTACTTTTGTTTGTGTCCTGACCTGAATTGATCAGTTTTGTCCTTCTTCGATCGAGGAGTACGTAGCTAGGTGTTTTGGAATTTTCCCTCTGATTGAAAAGAATATGGATATTTTTCAACCCCTTGTAATAAGCATCAGATGTCTGGCTACCACAACGGCAGAGTGGTTTAGGATTCTTCATGTATCAAAAACACACTCATTTAGAATTTCCTGCAGACCAATACTAGCAGGTCACACGATCACATTTTGTTTGGTTGATAAATGTAATCCTGTTCAGGATATGTTAGATTAAAGTTAAATTTAATGTAATGAGAAATGTGGAAGTTGTGATTGATGGCTTATCTGTGATCCATTTTATTAATTGACTTTACCTTATCTTACCAGGTAAATTGATAAAGCAACAACCTGGGGAAGTGCTATAGGGAAATTGAAGGGGTTGCCCATTGGAATGTGGAGGAGTTAAGGTGTTCTTTGAAGTTAAAATGCCAGGTTGGAAAATAAATCAGAACACTGTGGTTTACATTAGCTGGCATCTAACTCTTATGCTCCAGGACATGGGCCTCAAGAGTAGAGGCCTCAGAATCTCCACATTTCTCCCCTCTTCTTCCCTTTACATGTACATATACAGTATAATATCATTCTAAAGTTGAAAAGTGGGATGCTGCTTTGCTAATACTGTAGTTTAAAGTACATTTCATCCATTGGGTTCAGTTTAAGTTTTTTCCTGTTTTTACATTTTTGTCATTTAGCAGACGCTCTTATCCAGAGCGACTTACAGTAGTGAGTGCATACATTTTTACACATGTTTTGTACTGGTCCCCCGTGGGAATCGAACCCACAACCCTGGCATTGCAAGCACCATGCTCTACCAACTGAACGACGCGGGACCATGTTTTGAAATTTGTAACACATAACACTCTCCTCATTCGACATTTGCACAAACATTTTATCAGTTCACAACATCAACAGCAAAGATTAAATCAGAGGTCATTCTTATGCTAACAGTTTCTCTCTAATCTCATACAGAATATTGTGACTCTTGAGCAGGGGATATGGACATCTCCTTCATAACAACTGTATAAAAATAATATAAAATAGGCTTTTTTGTTCCCAAGTAAATCCATTTAACACACTGCTCCTTTGAATAACATATCAAAACAAACAGAGATAAAAGCACACAGTTAAAGCTGACAGTTGATCCAGGCATCTGCTCACAGGCACGGCTAACATAAGGGCTCGCGATCACCTACTTACTACATGTTGTCTCTATTAAACCACAGCTTAGGTGAAGTATACCCCACAGGATAGTAAAGCACACTTTATGCCAGTTGAAACAAAAAGTGCAAGATTCTCATACAGTCTCAATAATCACAAAATCATTTTTTAAAATGCTGCCATATCAGAATGGGAGAAAAGTCTTTACCTTCATGCTCCACTATCAAAACCAAAGTAGTGGTCAGGAAGTAAAAAGTGGTGAGATCCATTATTCTGTTCCAATGTTCCAAACAGCTGTGAGTGCAAACAGCTCCAAATTCAAAAAGGTAGTGACAATATTTCCAGAAGCAGGTACCAGTGAGAAGTGAAGCCTGGAGAAGCTCTAGAGTCAGTCCCAGGCTCTGGTCTGGAGCAGCAGTACCTCAGACACCTCAAGCATCACCACACCCTCCTTTCCTCCTCCCCAGATTCTGTCTCTGTCACTACTTCTGCCTCTCTTCTCCCAGGGCTACCACCACAGTCCCACACATGGACAACAGCACTACACTTGTGTGTGTGTGTGTGTGTGTTTGTGTGCGCGTGCAGCGATACACTACAATAAGTGTATACATCTCTGCTATGTGCTGCAGGCCTGCCAGTTACTGATAACATACAGCAGGAAAGAGCTGAATTGAGAGAGGATGGTTCATGACCACACGTAAAGTGTCCTCCCACTGACTGAAAGGTGTGCTGAAGATGTCACAGGACCAAGCCAGCTGGGATTAGAATAGAGCACTGATGTGAGTCCAGTGCCAGAGCACAAGGAAAGCAGATGTTTTAGTGTGAAGGGAATTGGGGAATAATTGGTTGTCAGATTCCCAGCAGGCAGTGGATTTGGAGGATATGTTTGGCATAGAGAGGTCTAAAGAACAAGTCCATGGAGCTAGAAAAAAAGTTTTGGGGAGGAAATCCTCAAATTCATAAAGGGAAGATGTCTAGCCAAACCAAGGGAAACCCATTGTGGTAAACCAACATTTTAATTAAAACAATAAAGAGTCAATTGAAACATCCCAATTAACACATCTGTGTGCCAGACATTTTGTTAATTGCTCTAAGCTAGGGTCTTGTATTGGTCTTGTATTGGGTAAAGTTTTGCTGCCTTCAAAATAGTTTACAGTACTCACATATTCCTCACTTAACCTGTGCTTTTTGTTTGTTAGAGTGTTTATTTTCCATCCTTTGGCTATACCATTTGCACATCGCATTTTGATCCTATCAAAGCCCAGATGCACTATCATCATCGTTGTGGTTTGTGTCGTTGGAGGTTGTGTGTGATATCTAGAAACTGTGAAGGTGAGTGAGTAACCTAATTCCTAAAGACTCTCCGCGTGAAAGTTTCCCTGAGCGCTCTTCAATGGGGCCTGTAACATGATCACAGTAGGTATACTGGAGTATTCTGAGTCCCACCACAGGGGCTATTTCTTCCCACCCTCACTCCCATTTAGCAGAATTTTAGACTTCTCATTAGTTCAGATTAGGCTTAGTTTTGCATTCAGGAGAGATAATTAAAGGCTTGGCGAAACACAAAACAACATCTTTGCTCAATGTGCCCCTGGCTACAGCAATTAGATACTTGAGGTGAGATGGGGTGGGAGTGGATGAAGGGGTGAAGGAGACAAAAAACTTCAGAGACTTTTTAGCCCAACTTTTCTTCCGCAAAGTCTGTGGAAGGGATTTAATGAACAGTTTGTCATCAACTGTCAGTAAATATGGCCACTCACTCACTTAGGCTCCCAGGGTTAGCGCTACAAGGATATCTCAACAGTGCAGAATGTAAAAACTAAATTTACCCTACTAGTCTCTCTAAAGTAAAGGGCATAGCTTACTGGTATGTTTTGATCAAAGAAGGGGCAGAAAGAAACATTTAATTTATTTTTTAAGAGGTGTGGGTGAGGGGCAATTTTGTGTTGTGACTCATAGGTGTGATCCCTTGGCTACACTTCTACTGGCTCAGGAGGCATGACTTCACAGTCCATTTCTCATCATTTCAGTATTTGTTTTATACTATGTAGATTTTTTGTAAGATGTTTTCGTCTTTCTCTCCTCCTCTGTGGAATATGTTTTTGACTGAATCTTTAAAATCACAAAGGCTATCTGGTAAAATGTCAAATAGAACTCCAGACTTAACTGACTGGCAGAAAAACTCGAAAATATTGTGGATGATCATTAGAGAAATTAGAGCAGCATGAATCCCCCCTCCATTTCACTCAGATCATGACAAACACCTGTGATGAATGATTATTGGGTGATTTAGTAAATGACAGCTTTGGCCTTAGGAGGATATTCTCAAATGTCCTGAGTACAATTACTCCATTGACCTCCAACCACAATTAGACTTACCACATGTTCAGTCACTCCAGGACAGTCACAGTCAGTCACACAACCACACCAAATTTGGAAAATGTATATGATATCCTATACTATCAGGGCTGCACATTGTGCATTATGAACCCTAACCCTAGCCTCATTTCCACACCCCAGGCTCAACCCAAATCCTAACCATAACTCTAACCCTAACCCAAGCTTCATGTCCACACCCCTGCTCAACCCTATTTCTTGCCATAACCCTAACGGTTAGGGTTATGGCTATAGTGTTAGGGTTTGTAACCCAATGGTTTATAACCCTAACCTTAATACTAACCCGAGCTTCATGTCCACACCCCGGCTCAACCCTAACCCTAGCCATAACCCTAACCCAATAACTACATGTATCTAATTCTAAGGACACTTGCAGTAAGTGTGTTCCCAATGCAGATGGGTCATTCTACAGATTCGGTGACATTTCAGTATTGTCAGTGACCCAAGATGTACTAGTGTTATAACTTGTCAGAACATTTATCAAACTACACTTAAATTACAACATTTCAAAGTTTTACATGTTTTTAATATGGAGTAGAGAATATGATTTTAAACAGAGATGAATTTCAATACTTATATGTTTGCTTTTCTTAGGAGTATTAAGAATTTCGCCTGTCCCTATTGACCATCATGCAAATGGCGTGACTCATTTTGAGTACACAGTGTTAAATAATAATGCTTTTTTTTTGTTAAATTAATTGTATATGCCCCCTTATTATGCATAATCCATTTTCTCAGCATAAGACATTTTATTTTCTGAGAAATTTAGGCTTTTACCCCTGTCCTTGTATTTCTTTCAACCCCGTAACGCAACAATACCCCCACTCACAATTAAATAATGGTTTGATCCTGTGGACATCATTTATGAGGAAGTGACATCATACAAGTCTTCAGAGAAGCCTGGTGTGACAAGTGGTAAACTGCTCTCTCACTTTTTATAAATATTTCATGTTTTTTAAGCACATATGGGCTTTGTCAATCTCAGGTATTCAACTCTGTTGGGGGGGGGGGAATTCATAGTTAAGATTTTACCAAGAATTGTTTTTATAGCTATGAAGTATAACAATGTCTTTTGTTGAATAAGGCCATGTGGCACACTGCTAGCTGCTAGCATCCCGAATTAGCAACAGATTAGCACAAAATCTTCAACCCTGTCACATTCAACCCCATCACATTTTTCAATGTTACGGGGTTGAATGGCTGTTACAGGGTTGAATAGCTGTTAAATCTTAGCAATATTTAATGTATATTGCTTAATACCAATCATATTTTCTTGTTGAATGTTTGTTGTTTACGGTTTTACAGTATCAACTAAAAGTACGAGGAATTTTTGAAAATAATAACTTAAAAAAAGTGACAATTAATTTGTTCTCTCTCCTATATACATTGACATATTTAGGAGTATTATCTGCAAGTTCATGTTCATTTTACTACATAGTGATTAAAAGGAAACAATATTTAGTCTTGAAGAGTAAGCAGGTCATTGACTTGACCTTGACCTACAATTTCAGATTCAACAATGGAAAAAACAGCAGCAGAAAGGAAACACACATAGAGAGGAAGGTGAGGGACATCCGCGCGCCGGTGGTCAGGTAATTCTCCTGGACATGGGAAGGGAGCACCAGATGGTGTTGGTGCAACCCTAAAAAGAACCGCAGACAGGCTGATAAGTCAAGGATGTGACATCCCAAATGCTCATACTCTGTACAGGGTCTTAGAGGAGAACAACACTGCCATCAAGCTTTACTTCATTGAAGACGAGGCCATCGAGAAAGCCGTCCAAGGTATGCCAGCCAATTTGCCAGTAGTTCCATCCACAATGCGGATCCACCAAGTTGTTTGTGTGGCTGCAAGGCAAATTGCCTACCGTGATGTAAGCTGTATGTGCACAGTCCACAACAAGAAACTGGAATGCCAGTGTTTCAATACACAACATTTCACATTTACCCCTAAAGTTACATCAGTCGTGTCACAGAGGGAGGTTGATTGGGCAAATCCAGACATATGCGGGAAATGGTGCGTGGCCAAATATGCTGACGATTTCTATCCCGGAATAATTCTAGCCACAGATGAATCCCATGTGCAGGTCAAATGCATGTGCTGTGCTGGACCAAATAGGTACTTCTGGCCACTTCTTGATGATATCCTGTGGTATCCATTTGAGGACATCTTGGAACACATTGATCCCCCTAAACCGGTGACTTCTAGGCACATGGAAATACAGAAGGAAGTGTGGGCTAGGCTCTCTCAGTAAAAATGGTGAACAAACTGTAGGCTTACCTATAGGTTATTAATGTTAAGATGTTTGCTTAATGTTCAAACATTCAAACAACACAGACATTCCTGCCATTACTCTGGATATTTCTATGAAATCAATGAAAATGTTGTAACTGTTGTTAGTTTATTAATGTGTTTTAATCTGTCTAGATTTCATCTTGATTGTTTAAACTTTAAAAGCTATGTTGACAGTAGTTTAAAATGTTAAAAAATGGCAACATGTGACCTATATAGGTTATCAATGTTAAGATGTTTGCTCAATGTTCAAACAGACTCCTGCCATTATCAGATGGATATTTTTATGAAATCAATGAAATGTTGTTACTGTTATTAGTTCATTAATGTGTTTTACTCTGTCTAGCTTTCATCTAGATTCTTTAGATTTTAAAAGCTATGTTGACAGTAGGTTTAAAAATGTTTAAAATGTTAAAAAAATGGCAACATGTTAGTGATCTCAAAAGATAAAACATATGACACGTGATGCTTTTCACTCAACCCTGTTACATGATTTTCAACCCTGTTGCGGTGCATTCATCCCTGTTACGAGATTATTTTTTTACATTTTTGTATTAAATACACAAAATATAACATCAATAGTGTTTTTATTGTGTGTTTTAAATCAGGGTAAATAAGGCTATTTCAATTTTGTCAGGAATTACGCAGCATTCTTGCACATTTCTTGCGAAAATGTGGAGTTAGATTAGAAATTTCTTCATCGTAAACTGGAAAG